CACTAATGTCTCTGGTAAGCAATGCTCCTTCCTCATAACTTACACCATTCATCACCATTCTCTTAACATACCTTCTTAGTGCAGGTGAAAGCTTGACTGCATCAACAAGAGGAATCTCAAGCATCAGCTTGTCTATCATAGCTTTGCATCTGGCTTCTTATGTCTCCTGTTTAGAATTCTTAGGATGCTTGGGGAAGAGTGTCTTGGGTTTATAAACTTGTTCCTTGCTGTTATCTGCAGTTACAGGTAAAGCAGCTTTGTTTTGGGGCTGGTGACGATCGTCACCAGGTGGGTGACGCTGGTCACTGACTTGTGACGACCCCCAATTCCTTTGTAAGTTGGTGACGATCATCACTCCTCCTTGGTGACGCTCGTCACTCAATTCTTCAGACTCCATTAGGTGCACGATCTCCTCTGCACTCAACATTTTTTCTGCATTGTATTAAGCTCATTTTCACTCCTAACTGTGATGGTATTGACCTGATGCTTGGGATTAATATCAGTCCTTACAGGAAGGAATCCCTCTTGCCTTTGAACAGCTCTTGCAGTTTGAGCAACCTGAACATCCAGCTTCTTCATGTGAGAGTTAAGACTCTCAATTTTTCCATTCATGTCCTAATACAGCGAATCTAGCTTGCCATTGAAGTCCATTGTCATCTCCTGCTGTCCTTCTAGGATCTGCTCCAGCATAGCTTCCATCTTTCTGTCTTGTGGAGGTGCAGTTTGATATGAAGAAGAACCATAATTCTTGTTGAAGTTGCTGTTGTTCTGGTATGGTTTCTCAACCTCAGTCTTCTAGAACTGTGGCATTGGAGTATAACCAGAAGAATTCTGGTTTCCTGTGAAGGTAATCTTCTAATTATTGCCATTGAAACCTCCGTTCCACTGCTGATTTCCAAATCTTTGACTCTGAAAACCCTCTCCATTGATGAAATTAACATCTTTTTGCTCAAATTCTTCAGGATTTTCGAAAGTCTCTACTACTGCAGCAAATTGGCCTGATTTCTTTCCTACTAGAAGGCTGTGCACACTGTCTAACTTAGCCTTAAATTCAGCAATCTGATTCTCATCATTCAAACCAGCTTGTTTCATCCTCTGATAATCAGCATTCTTGGTGTTGTTACTGCCAGCCAAGTTTTTAATCAGAGTTATTGCAGCTTCTGGAAGGTTGGTGTTGAAGTTTCCACTACTGGTAGCATCCAACGCCATCTGATATTTCCAGTCAATGCCTCTGAAGAAAATACTAAGCAGCTGCACCTGATTAAAACCATGATGAATAGTCCATTTGATAAGACTTGAATCTCAGCCAAGAAGCTTTAAAAGCTTCAGTAGGACCTTGGAAAAATGATGCAATTTTTGTCCTCAGGTCCTCTCATCTAGCATCATCATAGAAGTTGTTCAGAAAAGCATTATTGGTGTCCTCCCAAGTGGTTAGTGAACCAGGCTCTAGTTGCTTTAGCCAATAAGCAGCATCTCCTCCAAGAGAGTAAGAAAAAAGCTTGCAGAACAGGAAGTCATTGCTACCTCCAGTAGCCTTGACACTTGAAGCCAAATCTTCAAAGCTCTCAATATGATCCATAAGATGCTCATGTGGCAAGCCATGGAAAGGATGCTACCCCACAAGCTGATAATAAGCAGGCTTGAGCTCAAAATCATTCCTCTGAAAAGCAGGAGGGCGGATTGCAGCTCTGTTGGCATAAAACTGGTCAGGTCTATTGTAATCTCCTAGAGTCCTCTGAACAAAACACCCAGCAGCGTTATCAGCAGAAACTCCAGCATTATGTGCCACTTGTTGAATTATCTGTTCAACAATGACATTTCCAACTTAGCTAGCTCGTCAATGCCTAAAGTCAAAAGCTTCTTCTCTTTGTTGCTTCTGGTACTACGATTATGCATTCACCTGAAACCAGCACAAAGAAAAGTAGCAGAAAGTTAGTAAACAAATAAAAACTTAGACAAAATCCTAATACTACAAATTGATAGGCAGCTATTAATCCCCGGCAACGGCGACAAAAACTTGATAGGGCTCAGGTTTTACCCAAATAAAACTACTGCAAGTACATGGTAATGCAATTATAGTATAAAGGGTTATCGAATCCCAATGGAGTAAGTTAACTACACTAAAGACTTCAGGTTCGGATTAAGCTACGCAATAAGTAATGAATGTAATGTGAAACAGCAAAATAAAAGCAAGTGGGCGTTTATATGATTGTTCTCAAAGTTCAGAAAGCTAAAGACGCTAAGTCAGGACAATTTGTAGGTTGAATCCAAGAGTGTAGAATGCATGCAATCATGAATGAATTAAAACCGTCTTGAACATGAATCGCAAAGGTATAACTAATCAGTTCTCATTGCAGAAGTTATCTATGTCTAAAGCATAGAGTTTTAAATCTCTTTTCAAACTTTAACAACCTAAACATGCAGTAATGATCAGATTCAATTGTTCACAAAACTCCTAAGTCAAATCTCTTTACAAATAGGCGTTTTGCTCATCTAATACTAGTTCAGGTGATTAACAATGTTCTCACATTTATTAAAAACCTAGGGTTTCGAAATCCAGATGATGTGTCTAAGAAATCGATGTGAATGCAAGCACAGGTGAAGAACCAATGAATTTCCATTCAGTTTAGCAATTCTACAAACTCTTCATCAACCTTTGAAAAGTCCTAACTTAACTAACAAACTACGCATACATGGTGAATTGAGAAAACATCATGAATAGAATAGATTGCATAAAAGAAATAAGAAATAAAGATAAAGGAGTTTGAAATCTGCTTTGAAAGAATCTAATTTGTCTCTCTAAAAGCTCTGCTACAAATCTCTCTCTAAAACTCTCTAGAAAATAAGATACAAGATCCAAGCCAACAATGGCTGAAAACCTAATATATACAGGCCAAAACACAAGATGGGGTCTTCTTGTAAATAATGGAACTTCTGGGCCAAAACTACAATTTTCTTTCCATCTTTTAATAGAAGTCGCGGTTTCTCTTTAGAGGCTGGTGACGAGTGTCACCCATAAGTGGTGACGATCGTCACCCACTGCAGGACAACGGTTCTGACTTGCTTCCTTCGTGGTTGATCCTTGCAATGATTTAAAAAGCTCCAAAACCTCCAATTATGCTCCAGTCATGCTATAACCTGCAAAGACTCTACTAAGACTCTAAAAAGACCAAAAATGTCAATAAAAAAGACTTATACCATTGTTAAAAAAACATAAAAATCATGATATATCAATGATACAGATTAAACAAAACCCCACAAAAAAACAACCCTACAATAGGGGAAAGTTATACAACCTTAACCCAGATTGCTAGCATAACCCTTCTTTGCTTCAAACTGTTTTTGTCGTTATATCCAGATTTTGATATGTAGCCAACACACTAGAGAAAAGCTGCACAAAACCCACAAACCAGATACCAAAGCAATCTCTTAGTTCTGTGAGACATGAAAAAGAAAAACACTTACCTAAGCGGCCTCGTCAAGAGGCTGCACTGAGCGGTTACAGGTGAATATTCAAATTTGAAAATCGTCTTTGCTATTGTCCAGAAGTTCTAGTGGAGTTTATGTCATCTTTTATAGTATGGAAAATTTGCTAAGACAGATTATAAGTTTCTTAAATTTTAAATATATCAACTAATATATTGTAGATTGAGAATATGAAAGATTTTTTTTTCTTTCTCTAGAATTATTAAAGCAAGAAAATATATTTGATGCTTTCAATTTACAATGTATCTTGGTCTTAATAAGGATGATATTTTTCCATAACAAATTGCTAAAACCAATGAAATTTGAATAAAAAACAGTTTTAATTAGGCAACTTTTTTGAATTATTTCAGTCAATAAAATTAATACTAATAATATTATAGAGTCAAAGTGTAATAAGTAAAAACCAAAGTGTTGAGAATGTGCCAGCCAATTGAAGATATTTTGTTTCAGTCTAAAAGTCTATAAAAAGAACTCATACGAACAGTTATACAAACAAAAATGATATATTTAATAATACTGTAAAAATGAACTGCAAGATTAGATTCATGAGTTTGGTAGTGATTTTTTTAATTATCATCTTGTTTCTCATGCACTACAAGAATTTATCAAATCAGCTACCAATTATTCCCTAGCTATCGTAGACAATCTGTCGCTACAATTACGAAGGCTACGGATGGCGACAAATGAATTTCGTGGCCTCAGCTTCGATGCTATTCCCAATCCGTAGCAAATTTGTAGCCCACTTGCGATGAATTAGCAAGAGTTTCGACCGTAGCCGATAGCAATGGTATAGCTATGAGTTGTTCCGTTGCTCTTTAGTGACGAATTTAGCAAAAGAATTTTACATGGCTATATGGCTATAGATGTTACATAGCAAGTTGTGGCGAATATAGCCATGAATTTGGTTATAGATTATATGTGGCTAAATATTAAATTTAGCGGCAGCCAAACTTTTGATAAAAACTGTTGCAAATGAAAAAAAACAAAGCTACACATTTGGCAACAGATTTAGTTGTTGCTTTAGCAAGAGAAGTTGCTATATATAATTTGTTGCTAACCTAATATATAATTTAAATGATTTTTGAATTATTTTGTTTTCAATAAATCAATAAAATTGTAGAAATCAATTTAAAACATTAAATATATTATAACCAGAAATCCTAAATTTCCAAATATTTTACAATCAATAATCTTAGTTGACAAACAAAAACTTAAATCTAAAAGTGAAAACAAAAGACATAACAAAAGTTCAAATCGAAAAACAAAAGATTTTGTTTGTTTTGTCTTTAGTTTTCGCTAGTAGACAAACCGAAGTTCAAACAAAAGTTCTAACAAGAAAAAGTCCCTAACGCCGTGCCTTGGATGTTCATTAGTGTTAGATCCAGATTTATGCAACAGTAGCTGCCGCTTCAGTTAGCGATGTCTGGGTGTGGGGCTGCCGCTTCAGGTGCCTGCTCGGTCCCAATTACTGATGTTATTGTGACTCTCCTGGCTTCACATAAAGCTGTGAGCTACTGGCTCATAAGGTTGACAACTCCAGTCAGATTCATCAGATCTCTCTCATAACGAGCTTGTCGAGGAAGGACAATGGTTGGTGGATCAATGGGATCATAATACCCCATCTGTGCAGTTCCAAGTCCAAAAAACCTTCCTTTGTATGCCTTGACTATCTACAAAATTATGGATCACAAAATGTAAGCATAATAGTGCTACTACAAGATAAAGAACTAAAGTAATGTATAAGAATCCAAATTGACATCATTTACCAAATAAAAAGCTTCATCTCGCATTAGAGGTGTAATAGGTGAGTTGGACCCTTGGCTGCCAGCCTCATTATCATCAGTGTTAATGGGAAAGTGTGAAACAACAATGGACTCAATTTCTTCGATAATGCCATCAATTTTCATGTGTGTCTTCTGCACTAAGTCGGTGATTTCTGGTTCCTCACCAAGCTCCATCATCTGCACTCATTAGTTATTGAAAATAGTATAAGGAATTAAGGTAACAAGAGAAAAAGACTCGATCAAACTGATAATAAGGGAAACGTAGAAAACAGAAAAAAGACTAAGGGGCTAATCACTTTTACCATATCATATTTGACCTTGGCGTATGATTTTGAACCAGAAATATGTTGATGCATACCATCTCTACCACGGTCAGATTTACGGTTTTTTGAATTTGTAGTGCTAATATGAATTGCCTTATCTGAATCCCAGTATTGCCACATTAAGTTCCAATTGGTGACAGAGACAAAGCTGGGTTTTTTGTTGAGTCTCTTTCCCTTGCTGATATTGTTTGAGATCATCCTCCGAAGTTGTTTAGTCCACTGAGTCTTCACCAAGGTATGATGCTCTGAATCCCAGTAATATTTTTGCTGAAACGAGATTGAAGAACACTTTAGTTAATGAAAAATTTTCCAATGCCAAAACAAATGCTAGTTCAAGAAAAACTTAATCTATTTAAATCTTACCACAAAATCAGACCACCATTTGTCCTGCTGCTCTTGTGGAACCTCACCAAGATTCCACCACAGGCCATCAAAATCATTGGTGAAAACTCTTTTAATGTCATATTTGACCTCATTATCAATCGAAATCCTATCACAACAAGGCAGAATATTAAGTTATTCAAGGAGAATACTAGTAGTATAGTTGAAATTTTATAAACGTTTACATAATAATCTCTTACCAAAGTCCGCCATCAATCTTCTCGGGATGGAGAGTGGGCTGCTTACGTCTTGCAGGTGCCTGTAGTAGTTCGTTGATGCTACGAAGCGGAAATCCTGGAGGTGCACATGAATTACCAGCCCTTAAGGGAGCATGGGGCTCTCGACCAACATAACCTCTTGCAGGTAATCCGCCTCGACGTGGTGGATACATACTACAAGATTTGAAACACATTAAAAGCACTATTTACAAATCATTTTCTAAATAAATAAAATAGTCCATCAATTTCAATAGTAACAGATACCAATCAACACAAAATTAATACTAATAATATTCTGGAGTCAAAGTATAATAAATAAAAATAGAAGTGTTGGGAATGTGCCAGCCAATGGAAGATATTTTGTTTCAGTCTAAAAATCTATAAAAAAAAAGCTCATACGAACAGTTATACAAACAAAAGTGATATATTTAATAATACTGTAAAAATGAACTGCAAGATTAGATTCATGAGTATGGTAGTGAATTTTTCAATTATCATCTTGTTTCTCATGGTTTCAGGTTAGTAAATCTGTAAATTGTATTTTATCATATCTTTTTTAATAACAAATTAGAAAATATTAATAATAATTTAATATTAGGGAAAGTTGAAGCTAAAGCACATTGCATTGGACCTTGCCAAGGGATTGCTAAGTGTGGGGCTGCTTGCGCCGAATTTGGATTCAAAATTAGCCAATCTTTGGTTGGAAAAAACCTGATCAGTGTTGTTGTGGTTATTAGTCGTTTCATATCTAAATGTATCAAAATCTTCAGTAATAATTTAATAAATATTTTTGATTAATAGTTTCGTAATAGTCAGTAGTAACATATACCAGCTTCGGAATTGTTGACAATTTTTATGATCCGCTTTTCTCTTTCTTTTTTCTCTGAGACTGAGAAATGTCAAATATTTTTTTTATATAGGTAGGTCAATTATAAATCCAATAATTCAAAACTAAGACAAGGTATAAGTATTTTAACTTTCCTATTGTGTTGTTAAATTTTATCTTCAAAATCTTTAAATACATCTGATTTATTCTTCTATTACTTAAAGATTCGACAACCAAATTGATTTAAACATCCGAAAATATATACTAGACTATCTAGAATAAGTGAAAAGTCTGCAAATTATTAACACTGTATAAAAGAATTTTCTTCTAAATGAGATTCAGCCTTAATTGATGTTTTATAAGAGTTATAACTAACGTGGATGTTGTTTAAGCAAGAGTTTGTAGGAATAAAATATGGGAGATTAGCTTAAATAGCACAAATTAACCAATTTATTACTAAAATAGCTCTTATATTATTTTTATTATTGAATAAAATTTCATACTAAAAATACCCTTAAATTCTTTGTTAACAAAAAAAAATTACATAAGTGCCATTATTTTTAATTTCCACGTCAGCAAAAAAAATCACAAAATAAAAAAAATTATTGTAATAAAACTGTTAATTTAATGATAATAGATTTAATTTTACTCACAGATTTATTTTGAATGTAGATTTGTTTCCCAGAGTTATTAAGACTGTCATAGACTTATTAAAACTTTCATTAATTTATTTAGAATGACAGACTTGTATAGATAAGTCTTTCGCATGAAACAACAGATTTATTTTTTCTGACAGATTTATTTTGAATAAAGATTTTAATCATAGATTTACTGCCTTTACACGATAGATTTATTTATTTTTACTAGATTTGATTTTTTATGACTGATTAAATTCACAGATTTATTTTTGTCACAGATTAAATTTATAGATTTGTTTTTGTGATAGATTTAATTATTAGGTTTATTTTGGTGATAAATTTAATTTAAGACTTATTTTTGTATTAGATTTAATAAATAGATTTATTTTCAGGATATATTTAATTGACATACTTATTTTCATCTCTTATCAAATTTATATTTTGATATCTCAATTATAGCAGATTTGGCTTATTAATAGAAGTTTCCGTCCCTCAATGAGTGATTTCCAGATATATCTCAATTACAAGAGCAAACAATATTATAGATGGGTACATACATGACATATTTGCAAGATAGATGGTCCAATACCTGACTTGGCATCTTCTCATTTAAAAAATTTGAACATGTTCCACGTTAGACAAATGATTAAACTTCATGAATAAGGTATATCAATGAATAACGAAATGATTGCAAGTTAAACAATGAATATAACAAAATGATCAAAGGAAAAACGAAACTAGTAAAATATCTTAGCCAATTACGATACTGCTACTGTGGACCTGTCAATAATACATCTTCTGCCTCATCTTCACAGAGTGATGGAATATTCATGTTGCTTAATCCTTCCTTGGGATGATGTGGCTCTCCCACCTCGTCAAAAATCTCAGCCGCTAATTTGCATCATAGTGCTGGAATATTCCTGTTGCTTAATCCCCCGAATGTACAACCGATTGCAAGGCATTCGATGTACTTCAATGCATAAACACCATAGATTCCAATAGACAAAAGACACAGCCATCCAACCATTCTCCTTTTGTCAAAACTCCAATTCTTACATCTATCAAACACCAATTGCAGCTCCTGTAGACAAGGTCCATCCCCTGTAGAAACACCCATGTCCTCCTAAAAGTCTTTATGATCAATATCACATTCCTTCTTATCTTCAAATGGAGCACAATTAAGGCCTGTAATCTCTTCAAACTAAAATAGAGAAAATCGAATTGGTTCACTATCTAACAATGTCCATATCTCGTAAGGCTGCTTAATTGACAACTGATGAGTCAACAAGTAATGGACAACCTTGCTAGACCATTTGTAATCAACCTCCCTAAACTTAGCAATCACTCCAGCAGATGAATTCTTCAATGCTTCCCATACATCGCTTCTAACTCCTTCTTCAACCATTTTCAAATTGGACAAAAAACAATAGTGATTGATACTTTTCTTTTGGATTGGTGCTCTTCTGTTTGCGTAAAATCGTGGAGGATATTTCTGTTTACCACTTGATGAAGCCATATTTAGCAACAACAAAAAAAATGAAAAAAATGAAAAAAATCTGGAAAAATATTATATGCGAAATTACAATTTTTGACAAAGATTCTATGAGCAATTCAAATTATCGACAAATCATACAATTCTTGATAACTCAATCTTAAGTCAAAATTGAATCACAAATTGAAATCTCCACAAATTATACCATCGACAAACATTACCTGAACAAATGGAAGACACAGACGACACCAGAATATTGCTCAGGTGAAGATGGGGAATTGATAACTATTGCTAAACTCAAAATAAGAGAAACCCATAAAAATAGTACAGGTCGTCGAGATACCGATACAAATCCCTCGAACCAAAGACAGTGGAAGGAATGGTGGGAGCTTCACAGCGTACGACGGTGACAAACTATAATTCCGAGAACCAGAGCGAAGGAATTGTGGCGGCTCAACGGTGGCTCGACAGTGGTGAAGAGTGAAACCCTTTTGTGTATCGGGGTTTAATTTTTTTCTTCTGTGTCGAGAAGTTAAATTATATCTATTGAAAAGATTTAGTTTGTTTATTATTTAGAGTTAATTTTATTAATTTAAATCCAAATTGCATAGATGTAATTATTAGATATATCACTTGATATAATGTCTTTTGTCACAAAATATGTGTTAGTGTAGTAAGTATTCATTGATGAACGCTAATCTAGTAATAATCAGAGAAATAAGTGTTATTCTGAGTATATTCCTCATAAAATATTGTATTAGGTTTTGGTCATACAATTTTGCTAATTTTCCTAAGCGCACATGTGTATGAGTCTGTATGCCACGTCATCTGAATTTGATGTATATATCAACTTATTACACGTTCACACGCTAACTTTGCTACACTTATAAGCATGTGATCGATGGTTGAGGAAAAAAGATACTCCTTTTGTTTCAAAATAAATATCATTGACACTTTTCACACAAATTAAAAAAATTATTAAAAGTTTTGTTTTACCCTTTGTTCACACACAAAATAACAATCTCTTTCTAATTAAAACAATAAAATTCAATGTTAAAACTGGATATTTATTCAAAATTATGCATTGAAAATGTAAAGTGACACTTTTTATGAAACAAAAATAAAACTTTATAATGACACTTATTTTGAAATGGAGGGAGTAATATATAAGAACATGAAAAACGAGAGAACCATAAGTCGCTTTTATAATTGTCAAGAAAGGGAGTAGGAACCTTTGGAATCGAGAGAACCACCACTGATATAACATTTTATAATATGAGGAATCAATCGAGACATAGCTTGTTGTTAATAACTGGTAAGAAAAATGTGAAATCAAGATAACTTGACAATAAACAGGAAAAGCGAGAGAAGCATAAGACATTAAAGGTGCTATTATGTGGTTTTGATTATACTTTAAATCTATATGATTTACATTTAAAATAAAATTCTATAAACTATTTTATTCTAATAAAATTTTATAAACTATTTTATTTAACATCTTTCATGTATCCATTTATCGCCAAGCACATAAATTGGATATATATGTGACATTTGCAAAGTATTGAGGAATACATAGCAGTTCAGAGGCAAAAGATCCGAGATAAGCATATACAATTCGTGAAAGCTACTTAGTGTTCCTAAGATTAATGCAAGTTCAAGAACAAAATGGTATTATATAAAACCATGTTGGTTTATGTGTTGTTTTACTACTTTTGTGATTTATTTATTAGACATTTTCTAGATTCGTCGAAACTTTATGTTGATGAAGCATTAATGTTATTTGTTGATATACATTCTTGTAGCAAGTTGTTTTAGAAAATAGAAAAGAATTTAGTATTCAACCTCTCTTCTACTTGTACAATACTAAAGAAAATTTTCTCTTTGTATATGAAAAGAGAAAAGCTTTTATTTTCTAAATTAATGTAATATATTTTATATACATGTAGTCAAATATGTATTATATTAAGCAAAAAATATTTAAATTTATTAACTAAATAAAGAAAGATACAAAAAAACAATTATAAACATAACTATCATTTTTAAATTTTTACTATGTATTTGTAGATGTGCTTAAATATATTGATATATAGTATATGTATTTCTTAAATGTTTTTTGGGGATATTGGAAAAAAGGAAATTTTTACTATGGATTTGTGAAATTATACCTTCTAATTTTTTGTCCATATTTTGATTAACTTAACCAATTAATTAAAAAAAT